TGCAGGATTCCAGGTGTGGCCTTACTAAGGTTTTATAAAGCGGTATTAATACTTCACGTGATCTTGATTCTCTGTCTATGTTTATGCAACCCAGGATTGTATTAGCTTTTTTGGCTGCTTGCTTAATAACAGCCTGTTTCACTTAACAAGTGCCGCGATTCATTTAACAACTGTGGCCCAAAAGGGTTGGCCAACGAGGCACAGCTGACTTGTCTCATTAGCCACGTAAATCTGTTGTGGCACGGAGTTGAGAAAGACCTGAGCAGCTAGTCCTCAACGTATGAGAGTTCAATTAGCAACTTGCGACTGGCTGTCAAATGGTCCTGGTGATCAAAATCCGGGCGTGTGACTCATAGTTATGACGATTGCCGCATCCCAAGGTGGTGGGATCCCCTTTTACGACCTGACATACAAAGTCAAGGGGGAAGATCCAGATTCCCCTAACCACCATAGCAAGAAAGGTTGTAAAATGAGGCATTTAAACTCATTTAACCGTCTCGCTTAGTGATGGAAATTTTGGGCTCGGCCGTAGTTTGAGGACTAGCTGTATACCCTCAACAGCTGCAGTATGTCGCTTAGGGACCGTGGAAAAATGGTCATAAAATTGGGCGCGGCTAACCTCAACAACTGCCTTGCTTTGCGACGGGAATTCTGGTCTCTCAGCGGTGTCGTAAGACGAGGACTCTCTGTGTTTCAAAGGCCTTGCTTGGGAGAGGGGAAAAAAAATCACTCGTGCATGTGCAGAGATGTTTTGCTGCTGACACCATCAGCCCACGGGAAAAATTGTGACGTTATTGTTCCAAAAATGCAAATTTCACCACTCAAATATGTGTATGACAGTGTCACATATGGGGTGTGTGTGTGACGTTGCTTTCCCCTCCACTGCAGATCCCCGCAGCTCAGGTGGACACCCCCCCCCAGAGTCTCCATTGATCTCCTTCTCACATTATGAATGGTTTCTTAATAATAATAATAATAGTAAGAAAGTTGGAAGGGATCTTGGAGGTCATCTAGTCCAACCCCCTGCTCAGGCAGGAAACCCTATACCATTTCAGACAAATGGCTGTCCTGTCTCTCCTTAAAAACCTCCAGTGTTGGAGCATTCGCCGCTTCTGGAGGCAGGTGGTTCCACTGGTTAATTGTTCTCCCTGTCAGGAAGTTTCTCCTTAGTTCTAGGTTGCTTCTCTCCTTGGTTAGTTTAGAGTCACCTTTATCAGTTGTGTTGTCGGTTTGTTGTGATATACAGAGATGCAGAGGCTGCAATGAGAACATCCTATTATTGCCATCTGATTCTTCAGACTGAAAAAAAAAATAAGGTTTTGGTGGGATTAGGTAGAGTTAAGTTTCGCAAATTTGGCCGCTTTAAGACTTGTGGACTTCAACTCCCAGAATTCCTCAGCCAGCTATGCCTCTTTTTTTTTTTTTTTTTTGTGGTCATACTTCCTAGAGCGGAGAGATTGCAGAGGAAGGGATTACAAGAGAGTAAACAGGCCACAGTGGGTATGCCTATCAAAAGGAATGCATTAGTCCCAGGGAATTCTGGGAGTTGAAGTCCGCGCATCTTAAAAGCGGCCAGATTTGACAAAACACTGTTGTGGAGCTGAGACAGAGGTTTTCTTCCTGGGTGTAAAGCCGGGGTCTTCAAACTTGGCCGCTTTAAGACTTGTGGACTTCAACTCCCAGAATTCCCTGGGACTAATGCCGTCCTTTTGATAGGTATACCCATTGTGGCCTGTTTACTCTCTTGTAATCCCTTCCTCTGCAATCTCTCCACTCTTGGAAGTATGAAAAAAAAGAGAGAGCGGCATGGCTGGCTGAGGAATTCTGGGAGTTGAAGTTCACAAGTCTTAAAGTGGCCAGATTTGGAGACCCCTAGGGTAAAGGCACAGTCTCTGTCTTGCTTGACCACAACTCCCAGCAATCCCTGCCAGCTATACGCTAGGGATGCTGGGAGTTGTAGTTTCGAGAGCTGGTTCCAGTTTGAAGTCAATATAGACAACCTGCAGCGTTCTTCCATTCCAGTTTTAACCCTGGTGACAGGATGATGAGTGTCGAAATCCTGTCCACTGGGTAGGAGAATACTTTTCTCACCTATAGACCTTGCAAAGTCTCCAAGTGGGTTGCCATGCCGGCTCAGTGGGGCAGGTTGTAGTCCTGGATTTGGTGAGAACTGACCATTGGCTTGGCCCGTGGGTTGGGTTGGGCCATCTCATAAGTTGGTTTTTGGTTTTGCTCCGGAAATCAGCCCAGCGGTTGGGCTTGTGAAGCTGGCTTGAGCATTGACTGCATGGTTGGGATCTGGTGTGGGATCTGGAGGCGAAACGGAGTGCAACTCTCCAAACTTCATCACCCCTGGCCAGCTTGGATGACCATGGTTGAAGTGTTGTCTTCGATGACCATGGTTGAAGTGTGTGAGCCGTGGTTGACGATGGTTGATGTGTTTGAGCCTTGGGTGACCATGGTTGATGTGTTTGAGCCTTTGGTGACCATGGTTGATGTGTTTGAGCCTTGGGTGACCATGGTTGATGTGTTTGAGCCTTGGATGACCATGGTTGATGTGTTTGAGCCTTGGGTGACCATGGTTGATGTGTTTGAGCTTTGGATAACCACAATTGATGTGTTTGAGCCTTGGATAACCATGGTTGATGTGCCTGAGCCTTAGATAACCACGATTGATATATTTGAAACTTGGTTGACCATGGTTGATGTGTTTGAGCCTTGGATAACCATGGTTGATGTGTGTGAGCCTTTGGTGACCATGGTTGATATGTTTGAGCCTTGGATGACCATAGTTGATGTATGTGAGCCTTGGATAACCACGATTGATGTGTTTGAGCCTTGGATAACCACAGTTGATGTGTTTGAGCCTTGGGTGACCACAGTTGATGTGTGTGAGCCTTGGATAACCATGGTTGATGTGTGTGAGCCTTGGGTGACCATGATTGATGTGTTTGAGCCTTGGTGACCATGATTGATGTGTTTGAGCCTTGGGTGAACACGATTGATGTGTTTGAGCTTGGGTGACCACGGTTGATGTGTTTGAGCCTTGGGTGACCACGATTGATGATTGTGTGAGTCTTGCAAGACCACGGATGAAGTCTGTGTGAGTCTGGCAAGACCGTGAGCAATGTGTCAGTGAAGCTTGGATGACCCCGGATGATGGCCTGTCATGTCGGTGTGAGTCTTTGAAGACCATCTGTGACACTTGCGTGAACTTCGGAGGACCATGGATGACTCTTGTGTGAATCTTTGTAGACCATGGACATCTGTGAGTCTTGGAAGACCAGGGATGAGGTATGTGTGAAGCTTGGAAGACCACGGGTGGTGTATGTTGGTGTGGCTGTATCTCCTCTGTCCATGGTGTCTTCCATTCTTTCCGTTTCTCCCTTCCCCTTCTCCTCTTAATTTGGCTCCATCCATCCATCCATTCATCCCTCTCTTGCCCTGACCCCCAACTCCCCTTCCTTCTCCCCTTTGGTCCCCAGGTGTGGGGCGCTCCCTCTCGCCTGCCTATCCCTTCCCCTGACCCGTCCTCGCGCGTTGTGGGGAGGGAGTGGGCTTCTGCCCTCCCCTTCCAGCCCCTCTCGCTGGGCCTTTGGATTCTCCCAGACGCAATTTGGTTCTAATTACACGTTCCTGCTTCTAATTGCCACATTGTGAATGATAAACAAAAAAACTCCAATTTTATTTAATTAAAGACCTGGGAGAATCCACCAGGGAGAGTCGAAGGCGCTGCGGAGCTGGGAGAGACTTTACACAGCCCTCCGTGGAGGAGGCTGGCCCGGCCAGGAGGCTGACGCCCCGGCGCCTTCGTGGGCCTGGAGTGCCCAAGCAGGGAGTGAGGTGGTCCTTGAGTTACGTCCATTGGTTTGCGTCCATTCAGTCTCAGTCTAGGCAGACCGAGGATCTGCACAGACATTCGTTCCGCAACCGCTCAAAGGAGGTTTGGAAAAAATGATTTGTGGCCAGTCCTCACACTTACGACCAAAGGATGAGAACAAAGGTTGCGGTGTCCCACGGTCACGTGACCGCCAGCTGTGACTTTGCAGCGGGCTTCCGATAAGCCAAGTCAAGGCACATTCCGTTAATGACTGTGTGAGATTCAGTTCACAACTTGCGGCAATTTGTTTAACAACCCTGGCGAAAGCGGTTGTAAAACGGGGCAGAACTCACAAGAAACGTATCGCTTAGCAACAGAAGTGTTGGGTTCAGTTGTGGTCGTAAGTTGAGGGCTCCCTGAAGAAGCTAACAGTCTTGTGGGTTGGCCTCACTCAACGGTCAGCCAGCCACCTGGACGCCTTCGTTGTCCTTCCAGATCAGGGGAACCCGCAAGGTGACTTTCTGGGAAGAGTTGAACCTGGAGCTTGGGATGCCTCGTGATCCAGGGGTGCCCCATCTTGGTGTCCTCAGGACCGAACCGTGGCGGGAAAAGAAACCACTTGGCCATCTTGAGATCTCCACCTCTCCCTTGGATGTCCTCATCCAGGGCAGAGAGACGTGGAACGGATCCCTCCCCAATATAGGATGAGTTATGGGTCCTCCCTGGATCGGGGACCTCTGGGGGATCTTGTTTGTTTCTGGAATCCTTTGGGGGGGGGCCTAGGTGCTTTGGTTAAGGTTGAGGAATCCACCCTGATGTTTATTATTCCACACTGTGGCCCGATGGTCGCGTTCTCTTGAGTTCCTCCTGAAGATGTGGTCCTTGGGACTTGGTGAGATGCTGGCCTTCGGCATCTTCTCAAAGTCCACCACAAGAACTTGGCCTCCTACACTTTGTTTACCCCCCCAGTTTATGTTTGATGAAGGCAGGTTTAAGGTTGGGGAGACTCGGGGGGGGGGTGAGTTCAGAGAGGTCTCCTGGAGAGGAAAAGGGACCTCTTTATCGGAGGTGGAGAAGACCTCCTTCTTGGACAGCTGAGTCCACCTGCTCCTACCTGCTGCCCTTTCTCTCCTCTTGACCCATAACTTCCCTTCTCTCTTCCCCCTCTCTGAACCTCTAGGTGTCTCTCTCTCTGGAGGTTGTGGTGCTCCGGACCCACCATGGAACGCAACAGATGTCCGATCTGTGCCAGAACATTTTTCGGGGTCACCTGCTAGGACCGCTGGGTTTCGTCACCTTCTGGGCCTAGGCTGCAACATCTCTGGTCTACTTCCTCCTCCTTCTCCTCTTCTTCCTCTTTGTCCGGTGCTGCCGCCTGGGTCAGCCGTTCTGACTCTTTCTCTCCCCTCCCCTTGTGAAGGACCACCGGCCTGGCACCCTGTCCGCTCACCATGTTCCTCTCCTCCCCGAGTTTCGTCCGCCGGGTGCTGAACGTCCGGCCGGGTTCCGCCCTCCTTTTCTGGCTCCTGGGGCTGGCCCTGCGCCCGTCACCCCTCTCGGGGCAAAAGCCCGAAGACAAGTACCCCGTGGTGCCCACCAACTACGGAAAGCTGCGCGGCATCAAGAAAGGCCTGAACAATGAGATCCTCGGCCCCGTGGTGCAGTATCTGGGCATCCCGTACGCCACACCGCCCGTCGGCGAGCGCCGCTTCCAGCCGCCCGAGGCGCCGGCGTCCTGGTCCGAGGTACGCAATGCCACCGCTTTCGCCCCGGTGTGCCCGCAGAACATCCACGGCATGCTGCCCGCCATCATGCTGCCTGTGTGGTTCACCGACAACCTGGAGATTGTGGCCAGCTACGTGCAGAATCAAAGCGAAGACTGTCTCTACCTCAACGTCTACGTGCCCATGGAGGATGGTAAGCACGCGGAAGGGGGGGGCAGCAGGGAAGGGGGGTGGGCATGGGGGGGTCTTAGGCCCCTTCTCGGTCCCGCCGGGCCTCTGGGGGGGGTCTTCCCTGCCAAGCCCCCCTTTTCTCTCAAGTCTCTGTTTGAATTCTCCCACCGGCCCTTTGGCGCAGCGTACCAGCACCCCTTCTCCGTTGCACGCCCAAGGTGTGCCCACTCCATCTTCTTTGGAGGGGGGGGCGTAGGGACTCTCTTCAAGGGGGCAAACAAGGTCTCCTTTCCTTGGGGGGTGTCTCCCAATGGCAAATGAGGGCCCCTTGGGGTCTCCCTCTGCAGATGGGTCAAGGGCAGTTGGTCCCGAAAGGCAGGTGGCCTGGTCCTTTTTGCTCTCCGGGGTGGGGCTCACGAAATCTGGATGGAGACCCCCCCTCCCCAAGGGAGGGAACGCACAGAAGCTCAACTTGGCCAGTTGCGTTCCCCACCCCCACCCTGCCCGACCAGCAGGCAGAAGCCCAACAGGTCCTGTCTCCTGGACTTTGCAGGCTGCTTGCCAAAATTCCTGCCCGGTCAATGCCACTCTGTGTCATAATAATAATAATACTAATGATGATGATGATGAAAAAGTTGGAAGGGTCCTTAGAAGTCATTTAGTCCAACCCCCTGCTCAGGCAGGAAACCCTAGACCATTTCAGACAAATAATAATAATAATAAAAGTTGGAAGGGACCTTGGAGGTCATCAAGTCCAACCCCCTGCTCAGGCAGGAAACGCTACACCATTTCAGACAAATGGTTGTCCAGTCTCTTCTTAAAAACTTCCACCGTTCGAGCATTTTTGCATGCAGGTGGGCAAATGCACACTTGCCCGGAGGCTTCCTCTGCCGTGATGGGTGCTGGGTGTGGGTCTCCCCCCTCCCCACAACAGGCACAGGAGTGCTGGCAGAGAAACCCCTCCCCTTCTTGTCTTAAGTTTTTCTGAACCTGGCACCCCCCCCACCCCTCCCCAGTTGGCACGGAGGATGAATGGGTCTCCCACTCTTCCTTGGGCTGGGTGAGTGGGGATCTCCCTCCTTCCCTCCCCAGCCCCCAAACCTTCGGGGTGACCGCCAAGCCTCACCACAGCCAAAGGGAAAATATGGGGGTTTGTGTGGTAGATAGAGATTTTATTTTATTTTATTATTTTATTATTTTATTATTTTATTTATTTTTTATTATTTTATTACATTTGATTACATTTCATTTCATTATTTCATTTTATTTTATTATTTTATTTTATTATTTTATATTTTATTTTATTTTATTACATTTCATTTCATTATTTCATTTCATTTTATTTTATTATTTTATTTTATTATTTTATATTTTATTTTATTCTATTACATTTCATTTCATTATTTCATTTCATTTTATTTTATTATTTTATTTTATTTTATATTTTATATTTTATTTTATTTTATTTTCTTACATTTCATTTCATTATTTTATTTTATTATTTTATTTTATTTTATTATTTTATTTTATATTTTATTATGTTATTTTATTCTTATTTTATTTTATTTTAGTTAAAAAAAAAAGAAACACAGGCAGTCCTCAACTTACGACCACTTTCCCGTCGCTAAACGAAACCTCTGTTAAATGAGACTTGCCCCCGTTTTGCCACCTCGCTCGCCCCTTTCGCGAACCGAATCCCTCCTGCTGACGTAAAGCGAGCAACACGGCCGCTAAGCGAATCCAGCCTCCCTGGTGACTTTGCTCGTCAGGCGGTCGCAAAAGGGACCCTGTCGCGGTCGTAAACGCGAGTCCGTTGCCCGGCATTCCGAATCCCGATCAGGGGATCCCGCGACGGTCGCCAGGGTGTAAATCGGTCCTAAGTCTCTTTCCATCTCCCTCCCGGCGCCGCCGTAACTTTGAGCGGCTGCTAAACAGCCGTTGTAAGTCGGGGACGACGTGTCTGGCTTGGAAGCCGCGAGAGGCCCCCTCCCCTCCCTCCCAGGCGGGTGTGCCCCCCTCCCCAATTTCCTAGCCCGCCACCACCACAGCTTCTTTTGTAGCACTGCTAAGTCCGTTGCCTTGGCAACAAGGAAAAAAAATTGCATTAAAAAGAACCCCCAGCTGGAGCAAATCCTGTAGACGACACAACAAGACAGCTGAGTGTCCCTTTTTTGCTGCTGCTGCTGATGGGGAGGGGGGTTTGCTGTGCAAGCCCCCTCCCCCAAATCTCTTCTCCACCCTGCTGTCTCCCCCCCTTTGTTCCTCCCCTCCTCTGCTCCCCCCCCCGCGAGCTTTTGGCAGAATCTCCTCCGATGGGGATGATGATGACGACGACGATGATGATGATGATGATGATGCGTTGCGGGGGGGGGAAGCCTCCCCCTGGACGCCTGCCCCCTCCCTCAGAGGGGTGAGGAGGGGGTTCCCCTGGTTGGGGGTGGGCAGCAGGACCCCCTTTCCCACACACAGGCACCCCGCACTTCTTCCCTGGGGGGGGGGGGCTGAGCTAGAGAGAGAGAAAGCAAGGCGGGCAAGTTTATCTTGGGTGAAAAATGGTTTAATTTGAAAAAAGGGGAGGGGGCGATTCCAGGCTTGGGGTCCAGATTCAGCCTCCTCCACCTCCTCTTCTTCTTTCTTCCTTCCTCTTTGTCCTTCTTCCTTCCTTCCTTCCTTCCTTCCTTCCTTCCTCCTCTTGCTTCTCTTCTTCCTCTTCATCCTTCCTTTCTTCCTTCTTCTTCCTGCTTCTCTTCCCCTTCCTCTTCATCCTTCTTCCATCCTCCTTCCTTCCTTCTTCCTTCCTCCTCCTGCTTCTCCTCTTCCCCTTCCCCTTCCCCCCCTCCTCCACTCTCGTCCTCCTGCCCTTCTCCTCCTCCTCCTTCCTTCCTCATGCTGCTCCTCTTCCTCCTCCCCTCCCCCTCTCTTCCTCCTCCTCCTTCCATCCTTCTTCCTTTCTTCTTCCTTCTTCTTCCTCCCTTACTCTTCCCCCTCCTCTTCCTCCTCCAGTCCCCCTCCTCCTCCCCTCTTCCTTCTTCCTCCTCCTGCATCTCCTCTTCCCTCTCTTCCTTCTCCTCCTTTTCATCCTTCATCCTTTTTTCTTCCTTCTTCCTGCTTCTCCTCTTCCTCTTCCCCCTTCCCCTCCTTCTCCTCGCCCTTCTTCCTTCCTCCTCCCCTCCTCCCCTCCCCTTCCTTCCTTCCTTCCTTCCTTCCTTCCTTCCTTCCTTCCTTCCTTTCTTCCTTCCCTTCCTCAGAGGAGACATGTGCAACACACAGGATGCAATAGTTCTCTGGGTTCTTTTCCTCCTCCTCTTCCTCCTCCTCCCCCCCACTTTCCTGCAATTCCTATTAGTCAAGTCAGACCCCCCCCCACAAAAGGCCATTAAAGAAATCTGTTGGTGGTTTACTTGGAATTAGTTTGGAGGTTCTCCCCCCCCTATAATTAAAAGTCGCCCCCCCCCTCCCCGGAGACTTGCAGCTCCGCAACGTAAAAAAATCCACATAAATCTGCACCGCAGACTGCAAAGAGGGCCGGGTCAATTTCCCACCCCAGGAAAGACAGGCTGGTGAGGAGGGGGGGGCAGGTGTGCTTTTCCCAACATCTCTGTGGAAAATAATTAACTGGAGGCAGGAAATTGGCTGATGAAGCCGGAGGGGGGGTGCCCCGCGGAGCCCATAAAGGAAACTTTCCACTCGATCGTTTCTAACTCATTAACCCACCAAAAACATTCCAGCTTGTCCCCCACTTACGACGGCCAACCTTTCTGCCGCTAAGCGAGACATCCGTTTGGCGGACTTTGGGCCCCGTTTTACGACCTCGCTTGCCGCGGTCGCTAAGGGAATCCCTGCAGCTGATAAGCTAATAACCCGGTCGCTAAGCGGGGCTTTCCCCGTTGACTTTGCTTGTAGGAAGGTCGCCAAAAAGGGTCATGTGACACACACCCCCCCGGGGACGCCGCGACCGTCGTAAACACAAGTCGCTCGCCAAGCGGCCAAGGTTTCGATCGCGTGACCCCCCCCCGGGAAGTCTGTGATGGTCGTAAGGGTGAAAAAAAACGGTCGTAAGTGGCTTTTTTTTCAGCTTGGTCACTAAATGGACTGTCGTAAGTCAGGAACTGCTTGAACTCTCCCCTCATGCCAAATTATAAGGGAATGCCACCTTAGAACGCCCAGTTGCGATTCCCTGAAATGTGAAGGCCGTAAAAAGAGATTTTTTTGGGGGGGGGGGAGATTCACTGTATTTTCCACAGCTTTAAATAAAAGAAAAATCCAGTTTATTGCTCAGGTGCGGCGCGTCGAATCCCTTTTAGGGGGTCTCCCGGGGACCCCCTCCCTATCTGAACACCCTTCAACAGGAAACCAGGTGGTGCTTTTTGCAATTCCAAGGAAAGATAGACAACTCCTGGATCAGGCGCCTCCCCCCCTCCCCAGGTTGCCCAACCCCCTTGGGGGGAGGGGACGATGGGAGTTGCGATCCTGCACATCTGGAGTGCAGCTGGGGGGGGGGCCAACAGGATCAGGTTGAACCTGTCCTGTGAGCCATGTCCCAATTGGGAATTATAGTTATAATAATATAAATAATAATAATAATAAAGTTGGAAGGGACCTTGGAAGTCATCTAGTCCAACCCCCTGCTCAGGCAGGAGACCCTATACCAGTGGTTCTCAACCTGTGGGTCGGGACCCCATTGGGGGTCGAACGACCATTTCACGGGGGTCGCCAAACAACGCAGTCCGCCATTTTTTCCCCTTTTCCTTAGCTGTGCTCCTCCCTTTTATTCTATTGGCTTTTGAAAGCCAATAGAAGAGACTCTCTTGAATAGAGTCTAATTCTATTGGCTTTCCAAAGCCAATAGGAATCGTCCAGGCTGTCTCTGCCCTGCTGAGCCCGCCAAAAGTCCCAGTCTGCCAATGGTGCTGCACCAGTTGAGTAGTCCTCGACTTACGACCGGTGGAGTAGTCCTCAACTTACGACCGGTTGGGGGGTGCGGCATTAAAAAGGTTGAGAACCACTGCCCTATACCAAAGC